GGTGCCTGATTCCAAATATCTCACTTGGAAATGAGGTTAAAGAACTCCAGGGAATCAAATCTGCCAGAGATTTTGCGACAGTTGTGACAAACAGCTGGTGGAACACTTTACCAAGGATGTATATGGACAAGTAATTCACCTGCAGGACGAAAATCCTGGGAAATATAATGCCGACGACAGACACCCTGCAGCACCCTTAAATCGTTTCAGCAGACGCCGCCAGGTGCCAAGAGGGCGAGGGTGATTGCTGCGCACTGGGTCACCTTAGTTCTGCCCCACGCTGTGTAAACACGATGATAAAGTTTTAGTGACGCTACTTATGTTACCGCAGTGGGGAAATAAATGGCAAATTACAGTGCATTTTGAAGTCATGCGGACTCAGGCAGTCCTAATGCACACAGAGAAGCCACAGGAGGGTTAAATTTGCTACCATGGCATTCTCTTGAGAAATTCTGGTACATAAAATCACATTTCCTTAATCAGAAAGGAATCAAGCACTATTTAGCTGAGTAAATCAGGACCTACCAAATAATAAAAGCTAGATAAAGCAGATTACATTACACAGAATGACGTTGGCGAAGCCTAGCACCAACACCAACCACGGGGCTTTACATTGAGTTGAATTAACAAACTATAGCAATCGGCGAGAAATGTATAACAGAAACAAACAGGAAGTGACTACTGGGACTTGGCACTGCGAAATGTCACCATATGGAAGAGTTTAGAAACTTTTTGAAGGCTCAGTTCCTAAATGGCTGGTGTTATCCACTAAGGCCAATAAAAACACAGTGGGAATTTAATTAATTTACTTTTATTACTCTGTAATGATTTAGGATATCTAAAAAAAATATATATATTAAGACCCCAGACAAGTTAATTCTGGTAGCAAGTCTTGCAATTGAACTAAATAGCACTGTATCATTTCCACTAATTATAAGATAGCCGTACTTCAGCAAATCTCCCACACTACAGTAATTTCATTATTTCAAACAAACAAGCAAACGAAAACACTTAGGGTGAAGGAGGTGAAGAAAGCGTTCTCCCTGATATGCTGCAAGTGTATTTATCTCGCTAAATACACCCTATTTTCTTACATTTCCTGATTCATGCTTTCTGCTCCAGAATGTCTGCTTCATCCAAAAATAAACACAGGCCAGATACCCAATCGCAGATTCGAGAGCAAAACATGTATCCAGCAGAGCTTTCCCATTAACTGCACATGGACCCATCTCAGTAGGAAGCCAGGTCAGCAGTGAAAGTGCTATTCTTCATACCCACTTTGTAGCAGAGAGTACTCAAGACAGGAGCAGGAGCTATAACCATACTCTTCTAACTGCTCTGCTTCCAAGCATGCAGGGACCACTTCATCTATTTTCTTGTGCTTGCCCCCAAGATGAGCAGGGAGGGGGAAAAAAAAGTGTCAGCTCTAATTTGAACCTTCCTGTCTCGACAGGTTCCAGCGATAAAGAACTAAAACAACAAACTTCTTTTTAAGAAGTGTATTTGACACTACAGCAATTAACTTTAAAGAAATTAGAACCTAGCTGATGACAGGCAGAGTTTTCATACTGCAGCCCAAAAAAAATGAAATCATCTGTTTCATTTAAGAAAGGCACCAGCACTGCCTTAACCAACATCTTTAAAAGTTAAGAAGACATATTTAACGCAGATGCAAGGAGAACTTTCCACAATTTAAATCCCCAATATAACACTGCTTGTACATCATCATATACACTGCTTCAAGATCGGCTACAATTTTCCAGCATCATCATAAAAATAAAACATCTATTTCAAAAGCAGTTTTTACCAAGACACTTCTTACATACTGAACATTGAGGTATCGCAGAAGGGAAGAAGTTGTGGGTAGACACAATGAAATCAAGAACAGTTTCAACACTCTCCATTTGGGATTTCAGCTCAAAACTGCTCAGCTTCACAGGGCACTTGCCACCTGTTTATTCTGTTGCACTTCCTCCAGGGAACACATATGTGCTCCACAGATGCACCAGCTTCCAGGATAAGGTTCAAAGATGCTGGCTTTAATCTTGTAGAAGTGCTAATTAATTTCGGTCCTGGCTCCCCTACTGCCACAGTATCACTCCATAAACACGTATGCGGCTGGAGTGAACAGCTCCTCGATGCAAGCAAGGTGCTGTCCCACAGAACAGTTTAGTCCCTTGTGCTGCGACTTATTGTCTCCTCCTTGGTTTTGCAGAAACTAAAACATGTTGATCCTCAGGTTTTCTGTATGGGGGAAATAAATCATGGCCATATTTTGACACAAGACATGCCTCTAAAAATGTGAGGAATAAGTAGAGATAAATTAAAATACAACAAGAACACAAGTTACATCAATGGCCAGCCTAGCATCCATCCTTTTCTAGCAGTGATTTACTGTAAAAACAGTTACACTGAAATCAACCAAGCCATTTGCAGAGGAACTAAGTGTTCAATTTGAGCAAGTGGTGGCAAAATTGGACTACAGATTTCTAAGCAGAACAGTAAGCATGCGATTAGCATATCATATGCAAGCAATGAACTTCAGTGTAATTACATTTTCTTTCTTTCCATTTTTCCATTCTGTTTTTCACTCCCTTCCCACCTCCTTGGCCAAGTAATTAATTGTTTGCACTTAGGAAGAAGAAGGCAAAGCTTCAAAACTCACTTTGAGCACTACAGGTGTTAGAGATCAACAAACCTATTTTTACACCAGGGAAAAGGTTTTGCTCTTCTACATGCTTTTGCTAAATCTTATTATATAGATGCTAAAAAAAAATCCACTACTGAAGGGTTCTGTCTGCAAAGAATCACCATATGGTAGCTTTCACAAATGATCAACTGTACCAAAACATCTAAAAATAACATCTTCCTTAAGTAAAATAAAAACAATTACCAGCAGAGACTTTTGGGTACTGTTCTACGCTAAGGAATCAATACCACGTTGCTGAAATGTTTCAAGTAAGTATATAAGCAACCTCCGGAGAAAAACAGCGCTGTGTTAAATGGCCCACGAACATCAATGATAAATGTAATATACATGTTTTGGGTTCTTTCAGAAGTCTATTCTTAGCTGTAAGACAAACCCCATCCATTTAATTAAAACCTTAGCTTACAAACACATTCACAGAGTAAGTGAAGCTTAACAAATCTAATTTGAATGAAAGGGACTAGCTGGGTAAAAGAGCAGTTCCCTGATGTTCCTTGCTCTAGTGGTTTCATGTAACCACTGATCACCAACTACTACAACAGCAAACATGCAACACCCTTAAACTAAATGGGAGTTGACTGTCTAAATATAGCTACTTTTAAATAATGCATCGTGAGTTATAAAATAAAGTGCTACTGAATTATTTAACCCGGGTCTCATCTTTAACAAAGATATATCACTTTTAATTAAATGGGAAGTTATTTATAGTCTTGGTTACATATTATTGTAAATTGCAACCAGTAAAGCAACATTTTACAAAGAGGTACTAACCAGTTATGCCAGTAGCCAGTTTTTCCTATACAAATCCGATTCACAGAAACAGAACTAAGATAAGCAAAATCATCACTTTCAGAGTTGCCTTAAAACTTCAGAAGATGACAGTTTGGCACTCATTCACAGCCCTCAGTCACAGAATATCCCACCAACCCATAACACTTGGCAAGAATTCATTGGCACTTCACGCTCACAAAACTGTTTCAATAACATTCATAATCCCCACGTTTTCTTTACACAAGCACCAGCCTCTAAGAGAGCAAACCCTTGAATACACTTAGCACTACTACAGTTGAAAAAGCATCCCGCTCTGTCACTTGTAAAACGTTTTGAAGACCGGCACACAGAAGCAGTGTTAAAGATGAAAGTTGGTGCCTGGCTGTGTTTTCAACGCAATGTAACAGTTGTATATTATTTACTATAGTAACCCTCCAGCCAGGCCTAACATCTGCAACTGCAAAATTAACGTTTAGCAATCAGAGGGGGATGACACGTTGTGTTTAGAAGGTTTCTGGAAAAAATTGCCTTCCACCTTACATAATGGGATAAGAAACTATCAAACAACGAATGTTTCTTGTTGAAAGGTGCCAGCACTCGGGATGCAGCGTGTGAAGCAGGGTGAAAGCACGGCACCAAACCGGCAGGAATCCACAGGCAGATCCTTGCTGGCTTTAACGGGTAAAGGAAACAACACATGACCTGCAGAAATCAAGCTGTAAGTGCGATCTGTCTGGGCCTGCACGGAGTCACTCAGCCCCTAAAAACAGGCTCCACTGATACTTAGGAAAAGAAACAGTCGTGTTCCTGAGCTAACCCCAACAGGGCATCCAGAGAACGTGGACCAGGGGTTGCAGGAGGTTACGGGATCCTCCCGTGTGAGTGCAGTCTCATAACTTGTCTACTCCTAAACACGTGCGTGTTAAGCTCACGGGGCTGGGAGGCTGCAGAGCGATGTGCCCGCCACCCAAAAGTTGAGCAGAGGATTCCCTTGGGGGAGCAGCTCCCCCCCCTACCCCGAGCCAGCCGCTGCTCAGAGCAACTTTGACAGCTGCTGGGCGCCCTCGCACCTACAGCCCGGAGGCAGCGCTGCCTCCCCCTGCCTCGCACGACCCCTCCTGCTCCCAAACCGGGTCGGGACCGGGTCCGGGGGTGCAGGAGAAGCCGTGCAGGGCGGGATGCCGCCGAGGAAGAGGAGCAGGAGGGAGGCAGCCGCCGCTTCCCCCACACCCCGGAGGCAGGCGGGGCGGCTGCCGGCCGCCTTTTGGCAGGCGGTTTCCCCTCCGGCCCCGCGGCCCCGCCGCCCCGGGGGGCTTCCTGCCAGCCGGGGACAGATGTGGCCAAAACAGCTGGCCGGGGAGGAGGGGAGAGGGAGGGAGGGAAGGAAGGAAGAGGCGCAGCTGCCTCGCCCCCGCCGCCCCGGGGGGCAGAGGGATGCGCTCGGGATGCGGCGGCTGCCCCCGGGGCGGACCAAAGTGGCCCCCGGGGCGGCGGGGCTGGGCGGCTGCCTCCCCGCTTTTACCTTGCTGCGGATCTGCCCCGAGGTGGACACTTTGCGGATGAGTTTTTGGGGGCCCTCGTGCTCCCCTTCGCTGTCCGACGACTCGTCCGCTGCCCCCACCGCCGCTCCCACCGCCGCCGGGTGCTGCTGGGGCTGCTGCTGCTGCTGGATGCCGCCGCCGCTCATCCCCGCCTCGGCCCCGGCCATCTTCCCGGACTCCTGCCGAGAGAGAAGCACACGAGCCCGGCTCAGCCAGGGCAGCCGCTGCCGCTCCCCTCCCCGGGGAGGAGGAGGAGGAGGAGGAGGAGGAGGAGGAGGAGGAGGAGGGACGGGAGGGTGGGGAAGGAGGCGGTGCAGAGGGGAGGGGACGGAGGCGGCCGCGGGGACCGAGCCGGGGAAGAGCCGGGCGCCGACAGCGCGGCCGCCATCTTCCGCCGGGCCGGCCCCCCGCGCCCTCAGCCCCGCTGCGAGCCCTCGGGGGCGACAGCCGGGTGGCCCCAGGGCTCCTTTTCCCCTTGGGACACTCGTGGCGGGTGTCCCTGGTGGCTGAGGCACCTGCCCAGGTGCGTGGAGCCGAGGTGTGCCCGAAGGAGGGCAGCCCCCCGCTATCGCTCTGCCAAGAAGGCGGCGGGCGGAATGGGGGCACCTCGCCTCCCGTGGTGACCGTCCTGCCTCCTGGCATGAGGAGAGGGAACCGTCCTGCTCCGAATTTGGGGACGCTATTTTGGAATTTGGGGGCAAGCTGCAGGGAGCACGGGCAGCAACCTGGGACGGGGTGTATGGCCGTATATACGTCCGTACACCTCGTACTCCTCATCCACTGTGTGGCACGGAGGTGTGCGACCACCACCCGTATCTTTCAAGCACTGGACAAACTCATGGATCGCTTTCCCCTTGTTCCCTCATAACCCTTTAATTTTCTTATTCCTTTGTTACAATTACTGCTTTAAGAGTAGCCTTTTTGGGGGGAATACACAAAGGGTCACTTTTCCCTGTTCGTCTCCGATCTGGCAGCTCGCAGGATCCAGCCTTGTCACCACATGTTCTGAACTGTGGGACTGGGAAATTATTGTGGCTTGCATGTAGTCAGTGTTCAAAATAAGCACTTAAATCACAGCGATGCTAAATAAGATGCACAGATCTCGAGTGCACGGACTGGATTAAACATAAGAAAGCAATCAATACTTGCGGCTTCTATATTCCCACAATTCTATTTATATTTCTAGAAAGGGAACTGACATCTCTAATACGCTAGTACAAGTGCCGCAGTACCTAAACACGAAGCAGTTGAGGAGAAACAAAGCCGAAATATACAACCTATCCTACAGTGCAAACACTTTGCTGCGAGCTTAATTTCATAGACTGGAACATCCCATTTCCTTTATTGGGACTCCTATTCATAGCAGGTGAAATTAAATGTTTCCATGAAGCCTTGCTGGTTTTGTGTCTTGGTTTTGTGTCACTACATCAGGTACTTCCAATGAGGTCCTACTCCACTTCTCTGTGTAGGGTCACTACTATTAAGGTATATTTTAAGAGTTTTGACAGTATAACCTACTTTTATTACTACAATATAATAGGGCCCGAGTCTTACCACTGACATTGTATCTCAAAATAGATTAAATTTTCCGTATTGATTAATGGTGAAATATCGGAGCCTTTTGAAGGTAAATGACAATTGAATGTTGCAAGTCGATGACAAGACCAGGTTTGCTAATTAACGCTAACACATATTGCATAGGATTGAGACTGTGATTTGAGGAACACTTAGTGCTAATAGGATGCCTGCAACACTCACTAGCTCCATTTAATCCAACTGAATTAAACAGCACTTAGATGAACAACTCCATCACTGTTAAATTTGTTCCCATACTAAAACAGCATTCAAAATTATGGTGTATGTGACAGCTGTGTATCTGTCACAAGGCTAACATCCTATGCAAAATTACATGCAAAATTGTATACAAGTAGACATTTCACCTTCCAAAAATAAGGTGAAAAGGAGAGATATTATATGTAATTTTGGATTATTACCTTTGAACTTGGGATGATCATAAAGTTGACCCTGTTGGTGACCCTAAATTTGCATCTTTGGGTAATATATATATATATATTTTTTTATTATTTTTTTTTGAATGAATGAATGAAATGTAATTTTGTTGCTTGTTCCTTCAATACTCACACCTTGATCCTGCAAACAGTGAGTGGTTAAAGTGTACTTCTAAAAACAGCTTTCCGATGGACTTTTGGAATAATAGGTACATAGGCATTGCTATTTTCCTGAACAAGACTCTAATCTGGTTTGTTTTCAAACCAATTTTACATTTTGTTACGCTGCAAGCTAATTCAAAAACTCATCTTGAATTTTATAAAACATTGGACCATTTAGCAATGGATGTAAATGCATTATTTTCTCATACGGTAGGTAATACACTGGGAAAATAGAAACAAGTTCATAATTTGCATTTTTTAATATAACAGTACCTGCCACACTCGATCAAGTGGCACTGCAACTGGAGGAGCTGCAGATCTCCTTTAATATCTGCATAGACAGCTTAGATTCTTTCCTCAAATACCTAAAACCTGTTAAATGAGTATCTGTAGGTGAAATGGGCAATAAATACAGTTCTCCAGCTTCTGTTCATGTTCTTAAGTAACAACTCTAGCTCCTGCACTGTGTAGGGGGGGTCACAAGTCCTTGCATGGGCTACCCCATTGTCGTGTTCCTCTCCACTGGCTGGAGAAAAAAAAATCAGTTACAAGGGGGAGGGCACCAGCCTTTCACTTGAAAGTGAGTCTCTTTCATCATATCTTGCTAAACTTCAGAACTGAAGTACTGGAAATGTTCTCTCGTCACTTCATGTGGAGAGCTGAGTAGTAACAACCCAGATCTGCAGATGTAGGAAATGTCCCACAAGTACAGTTTGGTTTCTACATACGGTTTCTGCAAGGTATGTAGGGAATTTGTAAAATTCTAGGTGCTAAAATCTGCCATCAGCTAGTGTTTTCAGTGTGTCTCAAATCAGAGAAAATGTGGGGTAAAGTACTCGAGTTATTCGGTCACATTACTGTAGAAAGGTGTTTCTACAAATCTATGTATTGTCTGTGCACAGGGACGGCTTTAAAGATCTCACTGTTTTGACCAGTTCTGCTTTTCAAAGGCATTAATACATCCTCAGGGTCTAGTTTCAGTCGTTAACCAGGTGAATCTGCCTGAGATATCCCTGGGACTTTGCCTGAATAAGGACTGCCAACTTGACTTCCATCACTTGCATCTCTCAGCAGTGACTTACCCAAGTGATTGATGTCAGATGCAATATGAGAAATAACGTATAGCAGATTTCAGCTCAGGGAGTATAGCTATGAGTACTGTGCTACAAATGGCACCAGTAAAATCCTCTAGACTTCTGTAAGCTCTGAGTCAGGCTCTTGAAGAACACAGGGCTAGATGTAGCCTTTAAAAACACATCCAATAATTGCACATGTTATGTCTTTCATTTAACATCCTCAGTTTCATGCTTCTTAATAATTTCTTTGAATGTCCTGCCTAAAGCATGTGAAAAGAGTTGAGAAAGGTTGGCATTTAAAGGGAGATTCTCAACTGATACAAAACAGCTCCACTGACATCATTTGGGCTACGGCAATTGATATCAGCAGATGATCTGCCCTTTATATTCAACGAATTCCAAAGTGCTGGGTAAATACATGCACTGTGAGAATGTTTTAACTGAACAGCTTCCAGTGCTGATAATAGCATATGCGTCGCTAAAAAGCATATGCAATGTACAAAAAATCCAAATACACATACGCTCCAGCTGCACTGGAGATTATAGTTTCTAATGCAGATTAACGCATCACTTGATTCCAGGAACAAAAAATGATTCCAGCTCTAATATTGATTCCTGGCATAATAGGCATATTTACCTCTTTTTCTCTAGGTCACTTTGGCATCTATAAACTGAAGGGCAATATGTTTTTCTCTTCACCTCAGAAGGTTGTTCTGAGGGGGTTTGGGCAAATAATAGTATATGTGTCAGGTTGGCAATGCCCTGTTTAAAAGATTTTATTGAATCTTTCCTAATTTGGATGGTTAATGAAAACTATAGTTTTTAACCGGGCTCACCATACTGAGCAAATTAATTTCAGATCTGCCTGTCTGCACTCCCTCTGCAGATCGAGTTAGCTATGTTATTCTTACTTGGCTTCCTTACTTACCAAAGGGGAAGCCAAAATATAACGAAATGTATGCATACCATTGTTGAAGAGAGTAACTACTTTGCTGGTATTACAGCAGTGTCTATGTTTCGGGAGTAGCTGAAACCATTCAGCAACCTCTAGGTTACAAAACTGTTTTGTATGCTCCAGAGTGAAAAGGTGTAAAACAGCAGAGGTCAGCACAGTAAAGAAAGAGCTGCTGTGAAAATGTGTTAGGACGCACCTATGGATTTCAAGGTGAAAGGTAAAGTCAAGACTCAGGTCCAATATAAAACATGAAAGAAAGATACAGAACTTTGTAACATATATTATGTGTATTTTGAGTACAAAACTGTATCTCCCTTTGAAGAGTTCAGGATGATACACTTACATTTTCTGTTACTTCTCTTTAGCTACATCATGGAGGGCCTGATGCCACTCCAACTGAAGTCAGGAGAAGGTTGTCTATTCAAAAGTGAGCCCTGAATTAAGGAGAGGATTTTATAGATGTCTGAAATTTCACACAGACAATTTCAACCCTGACATTTTCAAAGGAGAAGCTGCGGCTCCATTTGATGTCGGTCAGTTATTTCTCAGGACAGCTGTAGGAACAGTGCTTCCAAATGACTTCTGACAATTTGCATAGGTAATTACCGTGCACAGATTCATAAACTGCAATCAAAAGTTTCACCTCTCCTGTTGCTCTTTTTCTGTGTTTTGAGAGCTAGGGAGAGGTCTGGGCACTTTTTTTTTTTTTTCTTCATCATGCAGCCCTTCACCTAAATCTCCCTTTGTCCCCATTATAATAAAAAGCCCACTTAAAAGCAGATCATCTATACAAAGAAGAACGATGTGGCTTTTGCCACAAAGACTATGTATTTTACCAGCAGGTTACCAGGTAGAGGACTGAGTGCTTTAGCTGAAATTTGAGGCTTGTAAAGGAAATTAGTGCAGTGGTTAACCTTAAAACTGCATTCATGTGTGTACTCTGAACAAATGCAGCAATGAAATGATAAACATGACCCAAATCCTGTCCTTTACTGGGGGGAGGGGGAGGCTGAGGGGGGAAAAAAAATAGGAAAGATAAAAGATGTGCTCCTTGTTTATCTGAGCCCTGTGCACAGAAGGAAGCGGGCTTGGATGCTTCAGCCAGGACTCCGCATTTCCAAGCGGAGGGGCTGCAATCCATCTGCCTCCCGAGTTTCATCTGAGTTTCGGATGACGGCAGCCAATTTAAATGTCACTGCTTAATAGGATAACGCGTTCGCGGGGAATCAGATTCGCCGCCTTCCTCCCACGGTGTCTTCGTCTCCCCAGGCAAAAATCTCGGGTTCGCCTTTGCGTGATCCTTTTGGTGTCAGCTCCATATTACCGGAACACGCATACAGCTGTTTTCCCTATCACAGCTGCATCTCCGGCAGCAGCTTCGGGGGCTGAGGACTGCAGAGGGCGGTGAAGGGGGATGTTGAACTTCACAACAAGAACGAGGCCAGTAAAAATGTGTTTGGGAGGGCACGGGGCTACAGATCCTAATGGGGAAAGGGGTGATCTTAGTTCCCCGTGGGTATCTCCGGGGATCAGAGCGAGCGGGCTGGGACAGCCAAAGTGTGGCTCTCCCACAGCTGCTGTTTAAAACTGGGTTTACAAGTAAACCCAGGAGCCCTGGACTCATTCAGTGAGATGTCAAAAAAAAAAGGCACAGCCATCCAAGGGGGAGCTTGGCAGTGGCGTGGGTGCGTGCTTCACGCCATCTCCCCAAGTTCAGGGCCAGAGCCAGCCTCGCCTTGACCTCTCGGATAGCCTGGAATCTCCCGAGTGGCCACCCAAAGCCTATTTTTAGCCCTCCCTGCCTGGTGAGTGTGTGCGTGTGTTTGCACAATGGAGAAAAACCCAACGGCGGGACCAGACGACACCGAGAAGGGAAATCTGA